GTACATTGTCTGTCGAGATTCTACTCGCACTGTATTGTCCAGTCAGTCCTTTTCATCACACTGCAGTTCCTCGGTTATTACGTACATTGCATATCTGTGCATGTAACAAGGCTGTGTGCCAGGCCAGTCCGAGCTGGCGGGAAAGTGCCCAGAATTTGTTTTTTCCTGATTCTGAACGTCTGAAGTAGTTTTTTTTTGGTTTTTTTTTAACGGGAGGGTCGAGTTTGGGAGGGTTGTCAGGTATAGAGTACGGTCGGGGGAGACGGAACAGGCGGGGAAGATGGGATAGCAGGTGAAGATCGGACTGGGAGGAGATGGGACAGTGGGGGGAGACTGGGCTGGGGGGGGAGATGAGACAGTGGGGTGAGGTGGGACAGTGGGTGGGGGGGAGGAGGGGGGAAGAATGGGCAGGGGGTGGGACGATGGGGAAAGGTGGAATGATCGGCGGAGTTGGGACAGTGGGGAAAGTGGAGACAATGGAGGTATGATGAGGAATTGGGATGATTGGGGAGGCTGGGACAGTGGGAGGAATGAGGATGATTGGGGGAGTCGGGACACTGGGGAAAGTTGAGACAGTGGGGGTAGTTGGGATGGACAAGTCGGGAAAATGGGGGGAGTTGGAATGACAGGGCCAAAATGGGAGGACTGGGGTAGTCGCGACACCGGGGGAAGGGTTGATGATGGCGATTGATGATGGAAGAAGTTAACGACGAAAGTAGAACAAGAAAACAAGGAAGGGGAGGAGGAGGAAACCGAAGAAGACGACGAAGAAGGAGAAGAAGAAGGAGAAGAAGAAGAAGAAGAAGAAAACAGTGTGGTATGCTAGGCTACGAGCAGGGCCGCCCGGGTCACCTTGTTTGCCCGGACGGCCTGGCAGAAGGAAAACGAAGACAACGACGAAGGAGGAGGAGGAGGAGGAGGAGGAGAAGAAGAAGAAGAAGAAGAAGAAGAAGAAGAAGAAAGTGTGGTATGCCAGGCTACCAGCCGGGCCGCCCAGGTCACCTTGTTTGCCCAGGCAGCCTGGCCGTACAAGGGCCAAAGGTGGTCCCAGCCAAAAAAAAAAAGTCTGGAAAAAAAAATGTTATGCAAAAAAATAAACTGAACAACTTTAGCCTCAGGGTCGCATCGAAATTCTTTACCAAATTTCAAATCAAAAATATATATAAGTCGGTGAAACTCCGACGAAACAGTTTGCCACAGCCCCTCGTTTGTTGTCCTCTTCTCCCTCCCTCTCTACCTACGGTTTACCGGGCAGCTCTGTTTGACTATATATATATATACAGGGTTACCTGACCGAACGTTCGGGGGCCCCTGGGCTGGCCCCCGAACGTTCGGGCGTTCGGGGTCCCGTTCGGGGGCCGAACACCTCCAGGTTTGGCCCCCGCCAAAAAACTTTTCGGGGCCTAAAAATAAGTTTTTTTCCTGAATTGTTTTTTTGTGAGTTCTCTATGATGTAACCTACACGCCTATAAATTTTGAAGCCATTCTGCTTAACCAAAATAAACATTAAAAATCGTCAAAGATGGGGGTGTCAAAACGTGCTCGCCCACTCACTATTTTGTTTTTTTTCACTTTTAACTTTTTGTTTTCACTTTATTTCGGGGCCTAAAAAATTTTATTATTTTTTGAAAATTTTTTAACGAGTTATTGATTATGTAAAGTTCATATCTGTAAATTTTCAGGGCATTTCTCAATGCCAAAAAATAATTAAAAATCGGCAATGATGGCGGTGTCGAAAAGGTGCTGGCACACTCACTCATTTTAATTCTCTTTTTATTTTTTCTCATGTGAGGATTGAGCCCTCAAGAAGGGGCCTTGCCATGATGTACATGTTCTGGGCCAAGGCCCCAGCAAGCCTCGTGCCCGCCCTAAATGAAGGCGGGCCAGCAAATCAACAAGAGCCCTCTGTGCCAACATTTCACGAGGTGGGGTTCATACAGTTGCAGCACGCCAGTTGGAGTGCACCGAGTCTCAGATTTCAGCAAATGCTGAAAGCCCAGGGCCTCTGAGTTAGTTAGGCCCTGGGCACTCGAACGTGAGGCCGACAATGCATGCTGGGTAGAGAGGCTGAAAATGCCAAAGGGAAATCGGCCCACTATCTGAATGTGGCCGCAGGCCTTGATGAAAGAGGCGCAACTGCATTGCCCCGGGGCCCAACTATATCGGGTTGGCTTCAGCCTCTGGGTCCCGGTCACAGGCTGAAGGGAGGCCGCCCACAGGTATCTTTGGCCAATGCGGGCATTGCCGGCACGCTGCGCGAACACTAGCTGCTGCGCTGCTGTGCTGCGCTAGGCGGAGGTGAGAGACAGGCATGCGCTAGGCGGTAGGGCGCTGCCTGTGGGCGCAAGGCACTGACGGCCATAGCCGGGCTGCCTGTGTGCGCAGTGGAGGTGAAGGGCGAAGGTGGTTCTTCGGAGGTGAAGGGCGCTGTGTGGGTAACAAGGGAGAGTGTGGGGAAGAGGACACGTACCTGGTGAAGGTGGAGGTCGGCATTGGTGTTGACATCATCACTCGCTGGTAGTCAAGTTGTCTGGTTGCTTTTCATTGCTGTAGTTGTAGGATGGGCTGTAGAGTAGATAGGGCGCCTGGCGCCATTTACAAGAGAGCTACATTTGGGTTATGCTGTTGGTGTTGCCTTGTTGGGCATGGACATTGACTCACGATTCTTCTGTATCATTCTCAATTGGATGGTTACTCGGTTCCACGTGCTATCTGCTTTGGCTTTGACTACTTGGACTTCAGTGGGATTCTGCATTCTGGATTTCCTTGCTTCGTCCATACTCATGTTCCTTGCACTTATTTTTATCATAGTGTTTATTTTCTGTATTTGATTTTTAATTCAAATTTGGTAACGCCTCTGACCATTGGGAGGTGTGGAACGACGGTGTCATGGTCCATGCCATGATTGATATTACTGATTTCTTACTCTATGATGCTGTTCTCTTGCCACATCAAACTGTCCGCAACCTCCTTT